GGAAAACTTGGCAGAAAGTGTGTAACAGTCCCTTGAACCGTGCTAACACAGCATGTCAGTGTAACTCTTGTAAAATTGTTACAATTTTGCTTAGAATGTTTACTTACTTACTTACTTACTTACTTACTGCAATTCTATGCCGCCTTTCTCAGCCTGAAGGCAACTCAAGGCGGCTTACACTGGCATGATTCGATGCCACAATGAACATAAACAAAATTAAAAACATTTAACACACATTATAAAAACCCTGTAAAAAGCACTAAAAGCATAAAACATCAGTAACTTCCTATTAACTCATTTTCCAAAGATATTGTCAAGCCGTTCCATGTTCATTTTTTCCTGGGTTCCATATTCATCCATTACACTGCGTTTTCAAAGGTTTGTTCAAAAAGCCAGGTTTTTAATTTTTTTCAGAATGTCAGTAGGGAGGGGGGCGATCTAATATCCCTAGGGAAAGAGTTCCATAGCTGAGGGGCCACAACTGAGAAGGCCCAGTCTCTCGTCTCTGCCAGGTGCGCCTGCAACAAAGGCGGAATTGATAGCAGGGCCTCCCCAGGAGATCTTAAATTCCTAGTTGGTTCATGGAGAGATACGTTTGGACCAGTAGGCTGGGCTGGAACCGTTTAGGGCTTTATAGGTTAAAGCCAGCACTTTTACAACTAAAGATGAATTTTATCTGATGCAAAAACTTCTTGAGCATCAATTGGTTTTGCAGACAATATCGCTTCTGTTACTTTGTGTTTTCTGTCCTAACCACTATTCATCATCACTTTATTTCTTAATTAGTCGCTCTCCACCAAGGTGCTCCGAGCGACTTACAATTTAAAACAGTTTATACACAATATAAAACATTCAATATAAAAACATTCAATATAAAAACTTTCAACATAAAAACATTCAACATAAAACATTCAACATAAAAACATTCAGCAGTGACTATGGCAAAATTTGATCTGGTTACTTAAATGCACAACCAAACAGCCAAGTCTTGAGCGCCTTTGCAAAAGGTCGCGACTCTGACATTGCTCTAATATATGGAGGCAATGAGTTCCACAGAATTGGAGCATAGATCGAAAAAGCTCTACGCCTTGACAGTTGTGGGCTCTTTGGGATGAATTTCACACTTTCCCAGCTACTAGACACCTCGTCACAGTTAACTGTTATTTATTATTTCCCTTTCCAAGTGGTTTTCATAATGTACCTTTTTGTCTTCACCAGAGAGATGATTCCTCTTTTTTTAATCAAGTTTGTCTTAGAGATTGAAAGTAATCTGGTGATTTCAAAGACTTGAATCTTGTTGCTAAGTCTCAGTTACAGCCGACCTTTTGAATGGTGAATTGATATGCGGGCAAATTATACAGGTTCAATGGGTTTGCTCTAGTCGTGATTAGCAATAGGATTTTCAGGCAAAAAAAAAAAAAGCATGTGTCTTTCTCAGCAGAACCAATTTTAGTGAAGTGTTTGGTACCACACTATGTTATATAGGCATATTTATGTTGAAAAGCAAAACGAACAGGCCCAGAATTAACCCCTCTTTCTCTTCCCATCTACTCTTTGTGTGCCACAACCACCTTTTCTCTTTTAGTTTACAGTAGCCCTCCATATTAATGAAGTATTTATTCACAGATTGAAAAAAGTGTTCCTTCTCTGATCCCTGAAAAATTGCAATGGCGTGCTTATCAAGCACACAATTTTTTGATTTGTTGTTGTTTTGTCTATCCTTTGACAACAATAAGTATCTCCGAGACATGATGGCAAAAGTTTCATCTTGTTCATTGGAGTAGCTGAATCTGGGTTATTGAACTATAGATTCAAAAACTGAGGATGACCTTTCTAGGGCTGTCCATCAGAGCTTGGATGATTGCGCTTTTGCTAAGTTTTCATGTGGTATGTATGTAAAACAGTAAAGTCTTACTAGCGAATTCCCAAGGATTTCATAGTGACCTTAATAGATTAGAGAGCTGAGCCAAAACTAACAAAATTCCAGCAGGGAGAAATGTAAGGTATCATACTTATGTAGATGAAATGGAATGCACATATACAAGATGGCTTGACAACAATGTCTATGAAAGTAGACCATAAGCTGATCATGACTCAACAGTGTGATATAGCAGCCAATGTTATTCTAGTCTGGATCAGAGGGAGTATAGTGACTAGATAAGATTAGGAATAGTATCTTATCTATTCTGCTTTAGTCAGGCCTCACCTGAAATCCTGTGTCCAGTTCTGGGCAATCACAATTCAAGAAGGATAATGATAAGCTGGAATGTGTCCAGAAGAAGGGCTAAGATGGTCAAAGGTCTGGAAGCCATGTCATGGGACCCATGCTGAACATCTCAGATAAATATTTTAGTGCCTTTTTGGTGCATTTAGAACAGGCATGGGCAAACTTTGGTCCTCCAAGTGTTTGGACTTCAACTCCCACAATTCCTAATAGCTTAATGGCTGTTAGGAATTGTGGGAGTTGTAGTCCAAAACACCTAGAGGGTTGAAGTTTGCCCATACCTGATTTAGAAAAACACTTTCTGAATCAACGGAACATCTAAGATACATATATAAATTGCTGCTCAAAAGTCAGTCTTTCTACAAATAGTAAATTTGCAGAGATCAAACCACAGCAGTGATTTTCGCTAATTCTTTTGTTCCTGATTGAATCAAGTCAGGAGATCGTAGTCAAGGAAGGCTGACTAGAGGATTCAGTATGCAACTGTCACGATGGGGCCTCCTAGATCTCTCTACTAGCAAAATTCCTGCCTCATCGAAGCTTGTAGATTAAATATCTTTATACCATATTTCCAAATCTCACTGTTCTAAAGGTCTCAATGGGGAAACACATTTTGTCACATTCCCATTAATAATTTGGCAAATGTTCACTTTGAATATTGTAATTGTTACTACTGTTCTAATCTAAATTTGCATATAAATCCCCCCCTCCCTAAACAGCGAACCTCACTGTCAACATCCCACTAACTATGTGCATCATGTAAATACTCTTAAATCAGTAATCACGCAGCTCTCAGGACATTGCAACATTTAGTATTCCTCAGTATCTGCAATGCTGGTGAAGGCTGTTGAGATTTGAGAATTAGAAACAGAATCATTGAGTTGGAAGAGACCTCGTGGGCCATCCAGTCCAACCCCCTACCAAGAAGCAGGAAAATAACATTCAAAGCACTCCTGACACCTGGCCTCTGTTTAAAAACCTGCAAAGAAGGAGCCTCCACCATGCTCTGGGGCAGAGAGTTCCACTGATGAACAGCTCTCACACTCAGGAAGTTCTTCCTAATGTTCAGGTGGAATCTCCGTTCATTCCTCAGTTTTGCATCATCAAGTTTTAGTCTTTCACTGAAGTTTAATGCTTAGCTGTGAACTGTGCACTTTCAGAACCAACTGAAATATTATGACCACTGAAATTACAATTTTAAGCACTTGAGGGAATTCATTCAGGACTTTGATGTCACTTTACAAATGATGTTTAGCCTTGGATTTTGTTGTATTATTTTAAAAATAAACATAAACATGAGCATTTAATATTACACTAACTCATGATTGACTTCCATTAAACCCACTAGTTGAGTATAGGTCTCTGCCATCATGTTTATGTAACTATAGAAAGTTTGGAAGTCACTTGAGATGGAGGTATCCAATACTTTCTTGCTCAGGTTGAACTTATTAGGCTTCTTTGGAGCCATAGGGCCCTTCCACACAGCCATATAACCTGGAATATCAAGGTAGATAATCCACAATATCTGCTTTGAACTGTGTTATGTGAGTCTACACTGCCATAAAACCCAGTTCAAAGCAGATAATGTGGGATTTTATACAGCTGTGTGGAAGAGGCCCTAATTGTGCTCCTTCAAAGAAAGAAATAAGACAACTGTATTTCATTACATTCAATAATATAATAACAATAATAATAACGACAATTCTGTTTGATTGGGCAAGCCCAATCAAACAGAATTAAAATATACACAATAAAAATACATACACAACATCATAAAAATCATAAAACATAAATCATCATACAGCAACCAGAAGCCAGGCTTAGTGGCTATTTCACTGGAGTATCATCGAGCATATTGGACACAGCATATTATTGAGAATGCAGAAATGCTGCATCACTTTATCAAGTACCATGTCAGACTACACAGAGAAGCATGTGGACAGTTCCAACAGAAAGGAGGAAACCATGAAAATGAACAAAATCTGGATATCAGTATTTAAAAAACTCTAAAATCTTAACAGTAAATAAAGAACAACACACAAAATCAGGGGAATTCCAGACAAGAAACGATCAGGGCCAGCTAACACCTCCCAACAAGGGATCCCCCTAGGCAGCAACCAGCCAGGCTTTGAATCTGCAAGGCCATTAAATACCTATCAAGGTGGCCAATTTCAACAATGACACTTGCCTCAAGCAGACAAGTATTTTTTCTCCGACCCTGAACATGCCACAGATATATAAACCTCACTTGCCTAGTTTCTAACAGACCTCACAACCTCTGAGGGTGCCTGCTATAGATGTAGGTGAAAAGAATGCTGCTGGAACATGGTCATACAGCCCAGAAAACTCGCAGCAACCTGGCTTCACTGGTTAGTTTCAGTTTCTTTGAGAGAACATTGAATGTTTCCAATACAGTAGGAGTGTCCGAGTACTCAGTTTATTTTTTTTTATAAGAGTGGAAGAAACCCCGGTGATGAGAGTAGGAGAGTAAATGAAAAGTTTAGATTAAGAGGTTATGTAACATGGGAATGATAAAAAAGAAAGAGGAGCCCGACTTTTTTTTCCTGGTGAAGCAGGCAGGGTACTAGCAGGAAAGGCTGGGTGTGCAAGTGAGTAAGGCAAAGCAGAGTCCGGTTACTCAAAGAGGTGGAGCTAAATGACTCTTAAGGAAAGAGGAAGCAGCTGAGAGAAAGCAATGCCTTAGTTCGGAGGGCTCTTTCTAGTTTATGCATTCAAACCCTTGAACTTGCAGTTACAGCCTGCCTCTCTTTTGCAGATTTTTGTGGGTTGGCACCCTTCTTCTCTCAAAGCTCCACTTCAGCATGGCCTCAGGAAATGGCAATGACCCAACAGACAGGAGGAGGACGGAGAGACGCAGATCATCCATGGAAACTGCATCAGGTGAACTGCTTGTGACAACCCTCATTCGTTTGTTTTAACTTTGCAATTAATTAATGAAAGAAACCATACTTTTGGGACTGATGGAACAGGTAGACCTGTTTGCCAGAGTGTGGCAAATGGCAGCCTTAACTTGCTAGCCATTCCTAACTACAGGATTTACTAGTGGAATGTTTAGATCATGATTTTGGCTGCAATTCTTTGCATGCTTATCTTGGAGCAAAACCCATTTCACATAGCGGAGTTGAGCATTTAAGTAGACATGTATAGGATTGTGCTGCGAGTTTGCTTATTTTCCTGTTGTTGTGTCATTCATGTGTTTTTATTTTAAAGCAACTCCAAGTCTGAATATTACTAGTTAGGAGTTTGGGGCTTGTTTGGACCAGTTTGTCCTTTGTGCCATTTGTGTATTTTTGTGACATGCATGTACTAATGTATCTTAACTGATAAATGTTTATTTTGGTTTATTTATTGTCTGGGGACTCGTGAAATAGTTAGTGTACTCTTATCTTGTAATTTTATTTTTGCTAATTATTAATTGCTGTGTGTATATTTTATACACACAGAGAGAGACACTCATGTCCTTAGGATTTCTTGTGAATGATTTCTCATGAATGTGTTAGTCAATCCATTTCCGTCAGTCATTAGTCTTTGATGTATAGGTCATGTTGGAAAAATCCAGTCTTTTTCAGTCATATCATTGTGTACCAGAGATGAAAAAGTTACCATTATAAAGTAACTAGATACAGTTATCATGCCAAGGCTCCAAATGCCATTATAGTTGTGGATTTTTAAAGAAAGGCACTGTTTACTTTCTCCTTTCTCAAAATAAATAATGTTTTGTCAACTGCGGTCGAGCTGACTAAGACTTACGGCGTCCCTATGAGTGAGAGACCTCCAAGTCACCCTCTTCCTTAATTGACTCTCATATATGTAACAGGGTCTTCCTTTTTTTCTACCGCCCCCTACTGTGACACATACTATTATCTTTATAGTACGTTTCAAAGACACACTTTGAATGCTACAAGTTGTAGGCCTTTGATATAAACACACTTCTCCTCTGTCTTACTTTGTTGTCACCTTAACACCAACAACAGAAAATGAGGCAGAAGCATAAGGTACAGGAGGAGCAAACACTTGGACCATGTAGTATTCTCCTTTTTCTCTTTCATGAGGCCATATCTCCATAACAACACCAGTAATAAAAGTTACCACAAAGCGTTGAAGTTATTCCTGACATGTTGTAGTCATAATGTAATGCAGAGCTTCATAAACTTTTTCAACTTTCAACAACTTTTTTCCCCAAGACTCCAGGTATATAGGTATATAAAATAGGTATTCAAGTCAAACTTTTTTTTGGAATATTGAATGATTAAATTCATGAATACGGAGGACCAATTGTCCCATAGCAATAACAATTAATGCAATTCCAAGTACATAAAAACCAAACTCATAAGTAAAAAAACAAAACCAAACCAATGGCCCTCAGTATCTGCTGGGGTTTGGTTCCAGGACCCATAGTGGATACCCAAACCCATGGATTCTCAAATCCCATGATATACAGGGATGAATTAAACCTTGGGTTTCTGCCAGACCCAAGATTTGTATCCATCATTGTTCTAATGAAACTATTGAACTAGTTAACTATGCTGATGTTGTGTGACTTTCTGTGTAAGTCCCCCGATTCCAACCCATTTCTACATACCAGTTGTACCTAATGTTTTTGTTGTACTTACTATGTCCATGCTGTTTTCTGGGGAATGCTTATTCTTGGCCAAATCCTAGATGGATATTGTACTCAAGCCCCATCTGCACTGGCAGTGTTATGCAGTTTCAAACTGATATTGTGGAAGGTAGTTTTGCTGTGTAAATAATTACATAGGAAATCCTGGAATAGGTTTTGAGGCCAAGATGGTGATTACACAAACCACAGAGCACTGATGTGCACTAAGGACTTTTCTTTCATGTTCTTTTGTGAGTGTTCGTTGTCTGGCTGCCACAGTTTGAAGCTAGCTTTGAACTGCATTATATAGTCTGTGTAGATGGTGTCTTAGGAAAAAATGAGATATATAACAGTGCTTGTAGCTTTCATTGATCTTGTCTATCCTGATATTGTAAGAACATGTCTTACTCAGTTATACTTAAGGCGTGTTTAGACCTATCAAATCTGGCAGCTATACTCCACAGCAGTAAACCAAATGCCCATGACAGTCCACAAGCAGAATGTGAAAGTAGCAATCCTCTCCTGTTTTGTTTTCCCAGAACTATTAATCAGGATTAGATTCTGATATATAGCAGTCATTGGCAGCTTTGTCTAACAGAATGATATAGTTAAAACAAATTGGATTCAGACAGTTTATAATAATTGATATTATCTAAAATGTTTTAATGAATGAATGAATGAATGAGGCTTTATTTATAGCACGTCCTATCTCCCTAATGGGTTTCAGGGCGGCTCACAACAAAATACACAGTGGTGAACATCCAATGCCAACAATAATATATAAACAGATCAAAAACAGATCAATAAATAACAAAACAACTCAAGTAAATCAAATATAGAACTATACAAATACATTAAATCCTTAAAATCTCTTTCAAACACCTCTAACTGCAAATTAATAGGGCAAATATTGGCAGCTAGGCAAGAGTGCATATAGGTGTACTTAATCCTCCTCCTCTCCATAGGCTAAATTGCATAGCTGTGTCTTCAGTAGCTTTCTAAAGGAGAGGAGGGAGAAGGCCATTTTATTCCTTGGAGGGCATTCCAAAGGTCGGGAGCGGTCACGGAGAAGGCCCTTTCTCTCATTCCCACCAGCTACACTTGTGACGAGGGTGGGACTGAGAGGAGGGCCCCCTCAGCCGACCATAGCATAGTTGATTTGTAGGTTTAAAGGAGCCATGCTGATACATGATTATACAGGTTGAATGTTCCTTATCCAAAATGCTTGGAACTAGATGTTTTGGGGATTTCAGATTTTGGAATACCTGTATTTGCATATAGGTATATAACCAATCTGTACCAGCAATGTGTAGCACACATGCTGCTTATATTAATTTTCTAAAGGGAAATTCCAAATTTGTCTGGTATTGTGGATGAACTTAGTATCATGAAAGCAACCCAAACAAAACAACATGAAAACTGGTGGCCATTTCTGATTAATATTTCATCTGCTGTCCTAAACTGCCATAGCAGCCATTCTGCTCACCAAAACTCTCTTTGCAGTAGTTTCCATAGCTGCAACTATAGCCTCTTTAGCCTACACTTGGCCATCTTATCTCTCATCATATCATGTGGTGTGTTTGAGTTTGCCAGAATCACCATTTTTTTTTTTTTTGCATATTTCACATTGCACTAGATCAACAAGGTAGAGATTTTGCAGTGTTGTCATCCGAAAAACGTTAAAACAGCATTGCTGGGTGTCAGTTATCTGCAATGTACAAGTTTTTTTTAAAAAAAGTTAATTTTTTAAAAAATATATATCCTAATAAAATCTATTGCATTTTGTGTTAGATTTCCTCTATGCTGTGCACTATTTTGTGGTCAAAACAGGATGCAAAGAAGCATAAATAATCGGATGAGTAGCAGCCTTCCTCCACCTCACAGATAGGAAGGTAGCAAGGGACCACATAGAGATATTGATGTCATAAGAAGCTGTGATGAAAGGACTTGGTGTAGACAAGCAGAGACAGTTCACTGTTGAGGAGCCAGAGGAGGCAACAGACTGCCCAGGACCAAGGAAAGGTGCAAACAAATAAAACAGTGATAGAAATCTTTGAACTTCTCCTCATAGAAAGCATTCTTTATCATATAAGCTTTGAAATGGAGGTATCAGTAGAATGTCCTTTATCCAAAATGCTTTGGAAGTTTTTCAGATTTGGATTTTTTGTTTTGTTTTAGGGATATCTGTATTTGCATATATATAGTGAATGAGGAGTGGTAGGAAAGGGGCTAGCTATACCCCCAGCTCGGGCTGAGTTTTTCTAGGTGGGGCATTGATTGTCCAGACATCCAAAGCTTTCTGGCACTCCCTGAACCCACAGAAGTCAGATGCATTTGGACTTTTCTCTCCCCAGTGCCTTTTTCTATACGGGTTATGTGTAAACCAAGCCACATAACCCCAAGTCCTCTCCCACCTTCCCCTGTCAAATTTCTGACAGTGGTGGAATGAGGGCTCTTTGAGAAAAACTCAATGGGCACTGGATGTGTAACTAGTCTCCATTCCTCAAAGATGGAAATGGCAACAGGAGGAAACATTTCAGAGTTCTTGAAAAGGAAGAATCAACCTATATTTTGTTCATTTAATGGAACAAGAGGAAGCCTACCACAGTCAGAAACACTGCTTGTTTCAGTCTGTTTCCTAAGTTGGAGTATCACAAAATGTTGGTTTTGTTTTTAATTCCAGATAGCAATAGTAGGTAAAGTAAAGATTTCCCCTGACATTAAGTCTAGTCGTGTCCAACTCTGTGGTGCTCATCTCAGTTTCTAAGCCGAAGAGCCAGCATTGTCCATAGACACCTCCAAGGTCATGTGGCCAGCATGACTGCATGGAGAGCCATTACCTTCTTGCAGAAGCAGTACCTATTGATCTACTCACATTTGCATGTTTTCAAACTTCTAGGTTGGCAGAAGCTGGGGCTAACAGTGGAAGCTCACCTCGCTTCCTGGATTTGAACCGCCAACCTTTTGGTCAGCAAGTTCAACAGCTCAGCAGTTTAACCCACTGCACCACCAGTGGCTCCTAATAGCAATGGTAGTGTTGCTATAATTTGTAAATAACACTGGTAATATTCTGGATTGCTTAAATGAGGGTCTTCCAGTCCTCCAGCAATTTTTTTCCGTCTCATAGGAACATATATTTCTAGATCTGGATGCTTAGGGTTTTTTATTAATAAATACCAATAATGATTTGTATAGTTATTGTGCATTTTTATTCTCTGAAATACAGTGGGATTCCTGTGTGTTTAGAAAATACGTCAGAACTTAATTGTCAGTTTTCCCT